GATGGGGCTGGCGTCTGAAGGAGTCCTGCCGGCTTTAAGTTGATGGATTTATAGCGTTGGCACTCTACACAGTTCTTTATGTGGTCAGTAACAAATCAACGCATCCCAACAAAATAGTACTTAGCAGCGATCTTTTGTAAGGTTCTGTCTATACCATAGTGCCCCCCAGTAGCAGAGTCATGGACATTTCGTAGTATGTCTTCACGGAGATCTGCTGGAATTACCAACTGCGGTTCCTCACAATCACTGTCGGGATCCCAGTGATAAAGAATACCATTGGCCATAATGTACACTCTTTCTGTCCATCTAACCAAATCCAACTGGTTGTTTTCTTCTAGGGCACCTATGATCTTGTTAAGTTCGGGATCATTGATTTGTTTTTGTCTGAAATCACTCCTGCCAAGTGGTGGAAGTTATATGGACACATAACAATCGTTACATGAGGTTGTCGAGTCATGATCACAAACAGGTCGAGATAATGAATCAGCAACGACAATCATCTTCCCTGGAGTGTAAACTATTTTCATATTCAGACTTTGGATTCTCATTGCCCATCTGGCCAATCTACCAGAATTTGATTTGATTTAAGGGAGAACAACCACTGCAGAGGCTGACGATCAGTAGCAATAGTCACTTCTGCACACTCTAAGTAAGTATGAAACTTCTCTGTCGCACTCCATACAACCGAAAACGCTTGACGCTCTATACAACTGTAGTTGCGCTCTGCTGAACTTAGGAGACGGCTTGCAAATTCGATAGGCCGTTCTTCTGCGTTCTCCCCCTGAAGTAAAACAGCTCCTAAGACGAAGGCACTAGCATCAGTTCGCAATGTAGAAGGTTTACTCGGGTCAGCTTGGATAAGTATTGAAGCACTGTTCAGAGTCTGCTTTAGCGATTCGAACGAGCGTAACTCCCTTTCACCGAAGTCGAATTCACGATTTTTCTTTAGTAAGTCTGTTAGTGGACGCGCAACGTCGGAAAAATTCGGAAGAAGCTTCCTATACCACGAGCAGGTTTGTACAAAGCTTTGGATGTGTTTCTTGCATCGCAGCGGTTTCATGTCTTTAATCGCGGCGATTTTATCCGGATCCGTTTGTATATCCGCCGGGTTAATAACATGTCCAAGATATTTAACAGATTTTCGAAAAAATGAACATTTGTCGCGTCGGGTTCGTAAACTGCACTGTCGAAGTCTTTCAAATATGTACTTTAAGTCATCAATATGTTTATCGAATGCTGCAGATAATACGAGAATGTCATCCAGATAAGCAAAGATTAACCGATCACTTAGTGTACTAGAAATACAATCGAGAAGCAACAATCTGGAACCGTGAGGATTACAGTGAAAGTTCGAAAAAAAAACTAAGAGGGAATTCAAGCAAACACAAAAACCTAAATTATAATACTAATATTGATATAATTGAGTTCAACGAAAATAAAAAGATCAACACGTGGTTGCCTCTAGCACGTTAAAAAAAGCAACTCTCGTTTCATGGCCGCCGGCAGTCGTCCTCCGCTCTCGAGGCGAGTAGCGAGGAGAGAGGGAGAGGTCGTAGACACACTCGGTAAACGAGTGTTCTGCAGCGTGAGTAGTCTAATGAACTGGTAGATGTCGCGTCGATGTCGATTTGGGTCGTTAATCACGCTAATTTCTTAACACTTAGAGTAGCGCGAAAACGGTCCATCATTCGCACGAAAGTTGCCGGAGCGTTTCGCAACCCGAACGGCATCCTCGTCAACCGGAAAGTACCGAAAGATATCGTGACACCTGCCAATATCCAGTCTGCAGATCAATGGTGGACATATACGGAGTGGGCTTAGCTAATTGTAACAACTCATCCAATCTTGGTATCGGATAGGTATCGGCGACGGTAACGTATTGTGTTGTGTTGTTCTTCCTTCAAATGAGTACCTTCATCGGCGCGTAATATAGATATTGAAATTTGGAGAGTTTGAATACTTGTCGTTCCTTAGGGGTTCGTCAACGAATTGGAAATGCACTTCAGGATTATGATAAAAGTACCAATATCTTTGAGGAATATTTAAAACGATTCCCGCAGATTCAAGGAAGTCACATCCCAATAAAGTGTTATTCTCCGTCAAATGGGGTAATGCCGTGAATCTTAATGGAATTCACTTACCACCTATTTCGATGTTTACCTCTGTCGTCGAAATGTTCACACTGTGACGCTTACCATCAGCGTAGGACAAAGTAGCAATAGAGCTATCAAATTTGTGGCCTAAATTCTGTAAAATTCCACAGTTTTGCACCAGCGATACTAGCCTGTGTACCCGAATCTGCGTACCCTGCACCGTGAATTCCATCAATGGTAATTGACAGTAGGGGCCTAGTAATGGTGTTCCCTTGAAGCGACGTCTCACAAAAACTCAGACGATTTGTTCGTAAAGCATTTAAGTATTTCCGTCATTTTCTCGAAGCCCGTGACTTCATCATTTTTACAGATCACAAGCCCCTTACCTTTGCTGTCCGTCAGAACCCTGACAAATGCTCTTCCAGACAGTCACGGCACCTCAATTTCATTAGCCAGTTCTCAACGAACATTCGACATATTTCTGGGAAAGATAACATTATTGCCGACACACTCTTACGGATTTCTCAACACATGTTGATAACGAAGCCCTTTCTTCTGCGCAGGAATCCGATAGGGAACTTCAACAATACCTTTACTCAAACCAACGGCTACATTTCTAACGAATTCACATTCCCAGCTCAAACAAAGCCATTTTCTACGACATTTCTACTGGTACGGCAAGACCTTTCTCAACTTCAACATTTCGTTTCGCCGCATTCAAACAGTTACATTCCTTAACACATCCTGGAATCCGTACTTCCATAAAACTTGTGACCCAGCGATTTATTTGGCCATCTGCTAATAAAGATTGCGCCAAGTAGACACGCGAATGTCTTTCTTGACAAAAGGCAAAGATTACCCGTCACGTTTTTCCACCCTTGGGCAAATTCGAATTACCATCATGCTTCCGAAGCAAAATATTAACGATGGTTTGATTAATGCTGCCTTAATGTTCCAAAGGGCAATGAATTCGGTATTGACAGGTCTCACTCCCAAAGAGTATTTGGTATATTTGGCCGATGTCATATATGAAAATTCATTAAAAGCTCATAACAACCGCTTAGAAAATGTTTTTAAACATCTGAGAGAATTTAATCTAAAAATACAGATTGATAAGTGAGTTCCTCGAAAAAGAAACGGAATTTTTAGGACACATTGTATCTAGGGACCAAATCCGCAGAAAATGCAACCTATTTCCAACTTTCCAGTACCAAAAACCGTAAAAGACATCAAATCATTTTTGGGGGAGAACGGTTATGATCGTAAATTCATTCTTAAATATGCTAAGATCATTAAGCTTTAGACTATTCTATTGAAAAATGGTACACAATTCCTTTGGATAGACCAATGTTTAACAGTTTTCTATTTTAAGTGTAATGTTATCTACTTTTTATTATGCTAATCAATGATTCTACAGCCGCGGTTGGATCTAGGATTTTTAAGCATACTGGTGGATTCTTGTTCATTGAAGTCAGTGTTCAACTTTTTATATTTGATATATGAGATATTTTTAAAATCATTAAATTTTTTGTTTATTTTCGACATGACTAACAGTGGATAATAATCCATAAATGGGTTGGTGTATTTTAGGGAGTAATTTGGTAATTCAGTTTTAACAAAAAAATTATCAATACAAGAACCTGTTGCTGGATGTAGTATGTTTGGTCTTGTAATACCATTGAAAAGTGGGCTATAACTGGTTTCCATAAAGTTCTGAAGGTGCTCCTGTTCTAATAGATCGTTTTGTAGTATATCCATATTAAATTATCCAATAATAAAATGATTTTTTACATTACAATTTCTTTTTAAAAAATCATTTATTACAGTAAAAAAGTTTTGTTTTGAGATATCATGACTTCAATATATTTCAGTTACATTTATTGTTATGCTATTTTGAAAGGTAATTTTAGAATTAAGAAAGCTTACCAAGCTTATTACTTGAATTGTTGTAGTTTCTTTTAGCAAGTTATTTATATATATATATAACTACACCATTTGCTTTATTAATATTACTATGGTTGTAGTACATGTTGTAGTTTGGTAGGTTGTAAAATGGTGAAAATGTAATATCCATGTTTCAGAACAAATTATTATATAAGGCTTAGTTATTAAATTATCACTTAGCACTTCAAGATGTTTAAAATTGGTTTGCAAGGACAAAGCATCCCTTGGATTAACGATACCACTAAGGGATTGTAGGTTTGTTACTTGGTCTTCATTGCTATTCGAGATATCAAAGTCAAGATCATCCACTGTGAGGTGGATTTACTTAGTTTTATTATCAACTACTTTACCATATGTTTGTCAGATTATTTTGTTTTTAGTATATTTTAAGTCATTTTTTTTTAAAGCTCACTAAGCAAAATATTTTTATCTTGTAATTCTGTATTAAGTCTTATTAGGAGATATACTTTCATTTGCAAAAGTGTGAAGTTCTCTTCTTCCTGTCTTACAATAGTTTGGTTATTTTCTAATCTTGTGTTAGTAACTAAATGTGGAACATTCAGTATTGTTTCCTCTTGTACAATACTGTTTCTTTCCCAATTTTTATGTGAGCCAATAACCATTCTTCTATTTAATGAATTGCTGTTAAAATTTGCGGTTGGGTTTTGATCCACTTGTTCAGGACATATCACTAAAATATCAGCAAGTTGTTTTGTGCCTTTTATTCTTGTCGGATTGATAATATACACTTTCACAAATAATACTCACAACAATATTTGTTTTACTCTGGATGATATTTAAGAAATTTAGCATTATCACTATCTGGAAAAACGTTCGCCTCCAACGTAATTTTTATTTACTACCCATACTCACAGTATCTATAGATATTTAGTACCTAGTTGTAACGAATTAATTTAAACTATTTAGTTTGTGGGCAGTATAGTTTCTATTTTATATATATACCTATGTGAGAGCCTAAATCAGTTCCTCTTCCATAGTTATAACTATAGAATTCGTGCAGCAGATTACAAATTTTTTCATATGTAGATTTTTCAAAAACACCTTTTAATTTACTAAACATTTCATTGGATGTCATGCACACTATAACATCCACAATATACTTTTTGTCCACAGAAATTAAAATTAAACATTTGTCCACGTTGTTAGAACACTGGTCATCTTGGACTGGTTTTAGGTCAATATCAGTCACATTCGACACCATTTACAATCCTAACTAACCATACGCCGTAAATGTAATATTCATGTTGATGAAAAATGAATTTCAAATAAATTAATATTTGGTAAATTGTATATTTACAATTTATAAATCACTTGGCTTTGAGATCACTTACGTGTGCGAAAAGGTAACTACATGGTAACTAAATGTAACTACATTACTGTAAACTTCTGAGTTCGAAAATTGAAAAGATCTAAGTCTGAATAATTTGTCTAGATGGCGCCATTAATAAAAATAAAAATAAAATGCTTTGACAGTTCGTTCGCTCCATTCGAATTCCTGTAGCTTTCGGTTGTGCAATTCGATAATCATAAATTTTGGAAACCCTAGTCTTTGCCCTAGTGTTAATTATAAACGGTTCTGTTTTATTTAGGTGTCAACTATCATAATTACGTGCATCACGTTGGAATACTCTTGGGAATTTAATATACAGTGTACGTACTCCAAGTTAGTGTTTTTGGTTATGTCGCAAGTTAGTTTATAGTGTTAACGCCTGCATTTCCATTATGTTTTTCGTAACGAGAAAAAGGTAATTTATTTAACTTTTAATGCAAACATTCTGCTGTTTTGTTGGTTTTTTATTAATTCTATTACATAACCTGTACGTTTAGCAAGGAGTTTGGTATGTATACCTACCTACTACGATCCGTTTTAGTGCTTCCTAGGTGTTTTTAAAATACTTAAAATATATTTACTTACCATAAAATATATTTGCAGTTACTTAAACTTACGGCCATAAATGACAAAAATACCTAGTTGCTTACTTTATCTTATTTCGGATTCCACGTGCCTTCAATTATTACTTGTGTTATATTCGCACTACGCTAATTAAGTTTCCGGAATTCAAAACTTTGTTTTTAAAAACGTTTATAAAAAAATGGAGAATACAATCACAAATTTAAATTATAAGAGAGATGATTGATTATAATTGTCTAGTTTTTTTTTGCTTTGTTTTTCTAATCGTCTAGTTTTGCTAATGAATCATTTTTTAGTACATAGAACAATAACAGAAGCTCTATAATGATATACAGGGTGATCGTCAAAACACTGGTTTTGTGAATGCTTATATTTGGCACTATTAGTTTTTGTATATCTCTCTGTTATAAATCCAAGGTATTTTGTATTTCTCTGATATTGTTTAGACTAACGGATTTGAGTTTAAACTATTCGAAATTGATGGAGAAGATTTTAAACACAAAATTTAATTTTGATACAAACTTTGGTTAATTGGGTATCACTATTTAGTTCAATGTTTTTTTTATATTATTATGTAGTTGATGTCTAATTCTATAATCTATAATGTATGTTCGTTTTAACGGGCAACTTTCGTTACAGTACCGTACCATTGTTTTTTCAGGAACAGTTAAGATCCACTTTTGGTTTTATTTTCTTGATCTTTGGCTCTCTCATGTTTAAGGGATTTTTAATGGAATTATCGTCGTTGCAAATATATTGTCCCGTATTAGTTTCTTTGCACTTAGCATTGAATGCTGCATAATTGTCCTCGTGCCGGATAAGAAAATCGGTATTAGGGGTGATCATTTTAAAGGTTTTATCAATGGGTGTAGGTAAAGGTATAAATTATAATAATCGTAACCTTCAGATTCAACTATTGGGATTTCCTGTAACTTTTTACCTGTATATTTTTTTCAAAAAGAAAAATATAAATATTTTCCATAGGAACATCAAATGGCATCTTCCTTTCCTTGGTTGTTTTATTGTTTTAAATTTCTTTAAAAAAAATTGTTTGGTTCTATTAATGAATTATACAACGTTCCTAATTTAGAAAACGTGACTGACACTTCTAATTTTTTAAAGATGGATTACTTGGAATTCGGTAATTATTTGAGACAAAAACATTTGCAACAAGAAACGATTACAAGTTTCCATGTTAAATAAATTTGATTTTATAACTGCCCTTTCGACTTCGTTGATACGGTTTTTTAGAGTTAACCTAACCAAGCCTTGTTTAATTGTTTTATTATAAGCAGAATTCATTTGGTACATTTAAGCACTTATTTAGTTTGTAAAGCCGTAATTAAATTGTAGGATTTATAAAACTTATATATTTATGTTACGTAGAATTTTCAATGATTGTTTTGAATAAATATTTTTGATCGGTGTTAAAAACTGCAGGCAACTTGAATTTTTGGGCAGTCCTCGGTTCTGCTTGGTTGTTGACATTTCCATCGATGCTTGATCTGGATTGTTGTCGTTTTTTTTGTTCATAGATTGCGATACGGATTTGGAAGTTTTCTGAGTACGAAGATAATCGCTCGTTGATCTTCATTTTAGTATTCTTAACCAACAACAGCAACGACATAAGGAGTCTGCCAAATAAAAAAAAAATTAGTGTTGTTGGTGTTGCATAAAACCAAGTTGAATATATAGATGTAAAGCTCTTAGTGGATTCTTCCAATATTCCTTTTTGCAGGTTGGCAAGCTTCGTTTTAGGGATCGGGATATTTTCTTCCTTTATGTAGTTGAGGTCAATGGGTTGATTTTCGAGTCTTTTTAGAATTTTGATGTTTTCATGCCAGCAATTTCGGGGTATTTTCGGGATGTATACTCCAATATCCTTTATTCTTACGTTTCGTCGGTCGTTGGTTGTAATACGAGACCGTTGTAAATTGGGTAACTTTTGTATTTATATGTGATGTCTAGATGTTTGGTAGATGAGAGTAGCCATTTAGTGAAATTCATTTGTTGAATATAGTTTTCGATTGCTTTAAAGCTATAAATGGTACATTCTCTGAAACTACTTTATTGACTGGAAATTTCAACTGTATCCGTTAAATTTATCTCAGTGGTGAATATATCCTGATTTTTATCTAATCTAACTAGACATTCGGGAATTAAAAGTTTATCGCTTCTCTTCCTTGTTTTGAATTGGGTTGTATCCTAATTACTTGTTGCTCGCTTATGAAATACTATATAATTAAGCACCTTGGTCTCCTTTTTTAAATGAATGGGAATCTTATTGTTGTTTTCTAAGAAAAAAATGTTATTGTGATATAAATCCAAATTGCAATTAAACGTTTTAAGTGCGACGTGAAACTTGACGTTTTTTTCCTTGAGTTTGGTTGTAATAGAACCAAATTCTTTAAACGAACTAGCATTTAATATTGAAACACTAGTAGTATCTCTAAAGTCTATAAATTTTTTAAATTCTAATTTATATTTGAATAAATTTATAGAAGCACCTGCACCAATTATTAATCTGATTGGTATACCTTTAATTTTTGAAATAATAAATGGAACAATTCCTATCATTATTATGGTAGTGTCAATCCTAAAATTGTACAAGGTTGAGGGATTTTCATTTAGTTGAACGAACAACCTTCTTCTGCTTCGCTCATATCCAAGTTTAAATTGTCCTGTTCAACTTCATTATCATCAGGATCAGATTCGGGATTTTCGGTTTGGATCTCGCATATGTTAATTTTTGGAGGTTGTTTAGGAAACCTTTGAAGGGGGTGCCGAAAGAGCGGCGATTAGGATTATTATCGTTACTATTAAATGATCTATTAAACGTATTTGTTGATGAAGTACTAGATCTAGGAGGTAACTCATTACTACTAGTCTTTCTTGAAATATCTGTTTTTGTTATTAGTGTTTATTACTCTATGTTGAGAAAGTTTATTATTATTAGATTTAAATCGAGCGAATTTTTCCTGATCTTCATATTCTTTTAATCGTTTATGCACCGAATAGGCATAAAAAAAAGCTACCTCTAAACTTTGCGCTTGGGCGTGAGCAATAGATATTTCAACATCTTTCGGTATATTATTTAAAAATGCTGGTTTGGCTATTTTATCTTTAAATTCTGACAGAACATCAATCGGATTTGCATCTTCAGAATTGTGTTCAATAGCTACAGCGATAAGATCATCACTAATTTTGGCAATTTTATTAAGTTATAAGTTTCTTTAATGAATAACTTCTTATTATTTCTAAATCGTGTGAGGTCAGAAATTAAACATTCAGCTGAACGTTCAAGTCCGAAATTAGTAATTAATGAATTTTTGAGACTTATCCAGTTATCATAATGCCTTGCGAGAATCACTCGTCCTGGACGATCTCATAACCGATTTAAAATAATTCTATGCGAATATTCTTCTCACTGGCTTTTGCTTTTCAAAAACAAAATCTACTGTTTCAACAGAATATTATAACCATCAAAATTTGGAATTAGTTCAGATAATTCTTTCCTAGAATAACTGTCTCCTTGTTCGGTCCTGATTGATACAAAATTATTCAATTGTAACAGCAAATTAGGGAATAGAGAGATTTTCATATAAAAATATGAAAATGCAGCTACTTGGTCTGGTCCTCGCAGGAGGGAAACGGGGTGAGACTTCCTTTTAACGGTCTTCTTTTCCGGAGGTCTTATTAGGCAAGGTCGAAGCAAGCGGCTTCTAACTACTAACTCGGCGAACGCACAAAACTTGCACAGAACTTTGCACAGTTTGGACAGTTTTTTTCGTTTTACCGAACCGACGGAAAACAAACGGCTTCGCGTTGTAACTTGATATATGAGGGTATATTGAGGGCTGAATAGACCAATTTACATAAAGCAGTATTTTCTTCGTTCACTTAGAATAAATAAACTTTCTTGTTATTCTTGACGACATTTGCCTTGTATTTTTTCTTTTTTTTTTGTTATACACTCTACATTTTCTGTGGTAAATGCAAATTCGTCCACTTTAAATTTTTGTAAATATTGCAGTGCATTTTTATATGAATCAGTGAATAATAAAAAAAAATATATTATAGTTTAGTATTTGGTTGAACAATGTGTAACCGACTAATATTAAGTTCGTCTGATAACGAGAGAGTTTAATAAGCAATAAATGTATGTGAAGAAGAGGCGAACGTGATGTTTGAAGCAAATTTGAATGTTTCCGTCAGGTAATATTTGAATATGATTGGTAGATGAATTTGACTATTGAACGAAATGAATGAGTTGATTGACGGCCAAAATCATTAGGAATGAATGGATGAGAATGTATGAGAGGGAATGATTAGCGTTATTCGATCCTGACCTAATCAAACGTATGATCAATGTAGCTCTTCCTAAATAAAGTAAATTAAAAAAAAAGTGAACATAATTATGTGTACTTGATTATAAAAATATTTTTTATGTGTTACGTACAACCCATATGTGTATAACAATAGACATTAAAAAGTGAATTTACCCGCTTGACCCTTCACATCAACTCTACAAATTCCAGGCCATAGTTTTGATTTTTCACCTAATCAATTAAGTAGTTTTATGTTTAATGGTGTAAACTCGTTAATCTGAATGGAAACTATAAATAGCTATTTCGATTGCCACTACATCAACACTTGATATATATTTTTTCTCTTGAATTAAAACAAGTTGTGCAATAGGTAACGTTTTTATTTTTTTCTAAATATCAACAGTCACATCACATCAGTCTTTTTATTATATGAGTTACTAACATAGATTACGAGTAGTGTTGCCAGGGCCGATTTATTTTATTTATTAATTTTTTTCGCAACTAA